CGGAATTGTCAATGGTTCAGGGAGGGGCAAACGTGAGGGGTTCTGCCGGAACGGGGAAGGAGCAGGCGGCGCCGTTAATGGCCGGCAGGTGCCTCGAAGAGACGGGAGGGCGCCCCGGTGGGCTGCTGGAGAGGGGCGGCGAGGGCGGCGGCGGCGGCCGCCACCTCCAGCACGCGGGAGCTATTGTTCCGAAGCCCCGAGGGGGCCACAAGCCCGTCCGCTCGAGGGCGGGGCTTTCTCACTTTCCGGGCCGGCTCGGTGTGTCCGCTGGAGGGAAGCGAGAGGCGCTGGCGAGGGAGGCTTCGCTCCGCAGGAGCAGGCGGCGCGCGGCCCCCGGGGGTCGGGGCGCGAGCGGCGGCGTCGTTGAAGGCTTGTCGGTGTGGAAAGGGTCTACGGTGGCGCACCTGCTCGCCGAGACTCCGCGCTGGAAAGAAAGTTCGGCGGAGTAGCGAAGGAGGAGGAGGAAAGCCCCGTGGGTTTGGCGGGAAAAGTTAGGGCGCGGGGCGGGAGCTCCGAGGCGCTGCCCTTTGCTCGTGTGGGAGGGCAAGGACCCCGTGAGTGTCGAGCCGAGCCTCTGGGGAAGGGGGGGAGCCCTACCTTTTCACCTGGCTGGAAGGCAGCAGTCGTGCCCCCTTTCCGTGTGTAACCCTTTCTACAGGGGGATGAACGAATTTATTACAGCATACGTTGTGATGAAGAAGAGCCCACACGCCTGGGGTGAAGATAAAAAGCGCCCGTGAATCTTGAAAGCGCGCCAGTGGACGAACGGGAGTGAAAAGCAGCCCGTTGTTCTGAGGCTGCGCTTACTGAGCCACCGTTACCGTCTAGAAAGGCTGGCGAACGGGCAACAACATAGAAACAAAGTTTATTAAAGTTATCATCTATTAGCATATCGGTGGCGCTGAAATCTTCGGTGTGTGTTCCTCCCGAGTGATACAAATCTTTTTCTGTCACACAGGCCCCGCACTCTTCTGTACTGCAGCCAAAACTGTGCTCATGACCTGGGGTTCAATCCCAGGTAGCCGGCTCAAGGTTGACTCAGCCTTCTACCCTTCCGAGGTCGGTAAAATGAGTACCCAGCTTGCTTGGGGGGGGGGGCAATGTGTAGCCTGCATAATTAACTTGTAAACCGCCCAGAGAGTGCTTGAAGCGCTATGGGACGGTACTGTATAAGCAGCACGCTTTGCTTTTTGCTTTTTTCAGAGGCAATTGAAGGTAGCAATAGCTCTTCTTTTCAGTTGAGAAGCTATGACTTACCTGATGCTACTCAAGAATAGCTGGAAGATAATGGATTTACTCAAGCATTTACACCTTGTTCTTAAAAGCAAAGCAAAAGAAACCTGCCCAAAGCAGTTTGCAATGCCGTTTTATAAACATAAATATTTAATAAAAGCAGTCAACATAATAAAACTGCAGCAGTTTAAAATGGGATAAACTTTAAAACCTGCAATTGGTTGTAAAAATTGGAAACATTTTCCAAATTAATCTAAGAACAACTCAAAAGAGGGATTATCACATCTACCTGGGGAATGAATCTCAAAATTTTTTGGGGGGGGGGGTACTTCAAGAAGACTCTGTCTCTGGTTCTGAGGAACTGGATCTCAGTTAATGGAAGTGTCTCCTATTTAAGTTCTTGTCAATCTAAGCAACTCCTGAGACAATATGAACTCATCCTACGTAGTGTTTTAAAGGTCAGTGCCAGAAATTTTTCAAAGCAGTGGCACTGAAGTAAAGTAGTTGTACATGTGCAGACTTTCTCACTCTGCCATTTGCATCCTGAACCTATTGTTTTTGTTTCTGAACTGTTTGAAAAAAGCAGCCCTGTGTAGGATGCATTAGACTCATCTAGTTCATTGGTCCTAAAAATAACCTCATTAGGGCAAATGAAAATGGCAGAAAGTAATGAACAAACTTGGAACTATTATTTTGATAAATTCCGCTAAGCAGAAAAAAAATGGGGGGGGACCTCCAATAACCTAGACAAGGTTGTAACAACCATAGGGTGGAGGCAGAAGAAAGAGCTATGCAATATTGTATTAAGCTGCAGTCCTTGCTTGGAAATTGTATCAAATTTACTTATGATACAATTTGCACTCTTAGGCTACATCCTAAAATCAATTACGAGGGACAGGAATAGGTCCTTTGAGTACCTTAGGAGAGAGGATTGCATTATACAGCAGATAACTTTTGATTGCCCCCAAGCAAAGTGGATCTCATATCACAAGGTACTTACACTACAGAGTTAGAAGACTATGATACCACTTTGTCCGTAGTCTATCCAACAGTATCCTGATGCCCGGAGATTGTTATAGTACTTGGATTTCTCTGCTAAATAGTTTGAGTGCTGTGGTTCAGGGAAGTGCTTTATAAACTTTTAACACAGATTTCTAAGTATTTTGCCAAGCTGCATATCCCTGGATTGATTAGGATGGAGCCTTGATAGTTAAAGTGGTATAAAATTGCTAAAACTGTAGTGTAGACACACACTTGGATTTGAAAGAGAAAGGTAGGGAAGGTTGAAGAAATATACAAGTCTAACATGCATACAGTTTTAGCTAAGTTATAACACCTTGTAATCTAGAATTAATAGGTGTGACATTTACCCCACAACCCCTGCTTGTTTCACCAAACCCAGAGCTCACGAAGGTATCCCAGCAAGCCCTTTGACACGCTGCCACAAGTTGATCTCCTTATCAACCTATATTTCCTATGAAAGACTGAGGTCCAATCAGTACTGAACTTTTAAGCAGAAACAGGTTTATTGAATACAAGTTGTCTTCTGAGGACGGTAAACTGAGGCCCCAGCTCGCGGGGGGGGGGCAATGTGTAGCCTGCATAATTAACTTGTAAACCGCCCAGAGAGTGCTTGAAGTACTATGGGGCGGTATATAAGCAGCACACTTTTTTGCTTTTAGGACTAATTCTTAAGCACATTCTTAAAGTTACAGAAAGCTTCAGTATTTTACTTTAACCTCTTCTAAATTAATACAGGTCACACTCTGACAAACACTCTCTCTGCCTCAAACCCCAAAACTCTTTCTCTCTTCTCTGTCTTTCTGACTGAACTCCCTAGACTCTGACTCACCCCTCCATTCTAGTTTCTCTGGCTCCACCTCCCAACAGCTGACATTGGTACATGCAAATACACTGCTGAATATTCATACCAGGAGTGATTGCTACAACAGGTCACTGGGCAATCAAAAAAAAACCAAAACCCCTGAAAGGATGTGGTCCCTACTGGCCACCTTTTTACTGGCAGTGAAACAATGGCTGTGCCTCCTTCAAAATAGCCATTGAAAATGTTAGCATCTTTCCACAATGCCTTGTAGAGTGTAGAAGTACAACAAACTAATTTTTACACTATAAAACAGTGTACAACTGCGAATTAATTGGTTTATCTGATAAAGAGCCAATAGAAGCCACAATTCTGGTAATATCTAGTAGATTACCTGGGGAATAACTGGAATTTTGGACCAACAGGTGTGCTAGGAGGTCAGCTGTAGCATCTACCTCCTAGAAAGTTAAAAATAGCATTCTTTAGAGCATCTAGTGAGTTTCATGGTTGAAGAGTCTGTCCAGTCCAACTCCAACACATACACCACACTCCGTCACACAGACATACTGGCTAACATGTATTTGGCTTTTCAGAAATGTATTAGCTCTGTTTCCGTCATGCAGGAATGCTATTTTGTAAAAAGATATCAATCATATCAGTTGTGGAAAGTCCTAAATCAAATGCACAGTTGGACAGTATGAAAATGGATAGCAGCAATAGCCCAGACCAAAAGCCTTTTGAGAGCTGTAAAGTGCAAATCAGGAAGATCTGATGTTTGTGAATGAAAGGTGCAGAAGGACTAGAAATGTGTTTTATAGCTAAAATAACCCTTTTCAATTCTGTAGTGGATTCAATAGCTCTGAGAAACGGGATCAGCAGTATAATGACCTTCTCTGTTTTCAGCACTTGTTAAATAAAAATATCCTAATATGGCCACCATGTCTTTTATTCTCTTCTTTCAGTCTTTGGTCAACTTCCATGGTAGACCAAAGAGGAGCATAATACAGCCATTCTTCTTGTAACACAGCAGAGATATCAGAGTGAGATACTCAGGCTCCCCAAATATAACAAAGCAAATAAAGAGAAGAATTGGAAATAATATTTGTACTGTATTTGGTTTAGAAAATTAAAGTTCTTTAATTTACAAATCTCCACATAGCTTCTGATGGCCCAGCCATAGACTATGTAATCTCTGGACACAGGCAGTAATTGGAGGAGATGGTGTTCTCCATGGCAAACATCTCTGGTACCGTGATGAATATCAGACACACTCAGATAACCATTTCTCAGACATTACAAGGGAGGAAAGATACCTTCTGCCTTTTATATATATAATTCAACACAAACCTGTAGGCATCCTTCAGTCTCGAGAGACTATGGTAACGTGCTCTGAATAGAGGTCTTGGAACAGCGTCTAGTGTGGCTGAGAAGGCCAATTCGAGAGTGACAATCCCTTCCACATTGGAGACAAATAAAACTTGTCCTCTGTCCAGCTCCCTGATTTTGATGGTTTAGGGACTGCCTCTTTGCCTCAGCTTGCTGAACAAGTATCTCTTCAAATTGGAAGAGGCCATGCTGCACTGCCTGCTTCCAGGCTGAATGCTCAGATGTCAAGGCTTCCCATTTGTTGAGGTCCATTCCTAAGGCCTTCAGATCCTGCTTGCAGATATCTTTGTATCACAGCTGTGGTCTCCCTCTGGGACGATTTCCCTGTACTTATTCTCCATACAGGAGATCTTTTGGAATCCAACCATCAGGGATTCTCAGGTCATGCCCGAGCCAATGTA